TATTATAAAGAATAGATTTATTCTATTTAATAATTTATTAGTAATTTTAAATAATAAAAACCTGTATATCCAGTTACTAGATAAGATTTATTATTAATTATTATTTACTTATTTAGATTAAATAAAGATATTAATTCTATAAACTACTAATATTATTAGAATATATAGAATCAGGATATATAGTATTACCTTAATAATTATTTAATTTATAGTTAAAAGAATATATAATAAGATTGTCACGGAGCATACTGGATGCGCATTCCAGGTACATCCCGCTGCACTATTTGTAAAAGGACTAGGATGTAAAGCCAATGGCTTTACACTGCGCACGCTATATAAGGACGTTTTTCGGGAACGGGAACGGGATCAGGCAACCACACAAAAGGTCAGGCAGGATTCAGACAGGCAGGCACCGTGACAAAGATCTTTTTTAGAGTTTCTATAACTGTTACTAATTCTAGATTAATTAAGATAATACTTATTAATAAATTTCTAAACATTTCTAAAAGACTGTTATAATTTTAATACTATATTTATGATAATTAATTATTTAAATAAATAAGTTATTTTAATATTCTATATAAAATTTATCTTTATGTAAGAAATGGTTTAATTCTTTTTAAAATAAATATATTTTTAATTAGAATCTTTAAATATTCTTATATCAGATTACAGAGAATAATGTATATTGGAATTTTAGAGTAAGTTTTGTTATATATTATAAATTAAGCTTAAACTTTTAATTACTTATCATCTCTAGATTGATGAGTAAATAAAGATTATAAAGTAGTATATTATATAAAAGCTTATTCTCTTTATGAATTATTATTAAGATAATTAGTCTGAATTTCTATTATTAATTAACTTTATCTTTATAGTCTTACTATAAAAATCTATAGAATTATTACTCTTTATAATTAAGTAAGAATATAAATTCTATATTTTCTTTAATTAAATTCTTTTTTAGAATTTTATTACAGATACTATTAATAAATAATAAGTTTAAGCTTTAGCCTGTTATATAAAATAAATATAGAATTTAGTTAAAAATAGTATATAAATAGTTTAATAAGTATAAATTTGTATAGCTAACTGGTAATATTACTTTATAAATTTTATTATTAAAGATAAGATATATATTAATATCTGTAATTAATACTGGAAATAACTATTTAAAAAACTCTTAAAAAGCTGGTATAATTTAATATTTATTATTAAAAGGATTAATTATATATTTAGAGTTTTGCTGTTTAAAAGTATTAAAGTCTACTTGATCTTTTATTTTAATAAGTTTTATTTATACAGTATCTTAGAATTACTGTCTGGATAAGTCTTTAATTAAGTACCTTTTATTAAAGTTAATAATTATACTGAATAAAAAGTTAAATAGATATTAAAGAGTTATTTATGATTTAGTGTATTATAATACCGGGCTAAATAGATTAAATTAAATAAGAATAACTATAAATCTTATTCTATTAAGAATTTCAAGAATATATTATTTTATTTATATAACTTTTATACTTATTATCCAGATTATTCAGGGCCTTTTAAAAGATTAGTATTATAGATTATTATAGCTGAAAAAGATAAATTTGCTGTAGATTATAATGATAATAATAATATCTTTCTGACTAAAGATAGTTAGATTAAATAAAGAGATGATATAACAGCAGCTCTACCAGATATTATATCATATTTATGTTATCTTGTTTGTTCTATTTATTTTATTATTATCAGTATTGTTTTTTCTTTAATAAATGCTCACAACATTTTCTGTTTTTCTTTTTTCCTCTTTATACTTAAATTTCTAGAGTAGTTAGCACCAATACAACTTCAGTTGTGTTGAACGGCCGTCTCACCAGATATAGACAGTAAAAAAGATAATATATAAAACATAACTGCAGTATGAAAAGAATAAAAAGAAATATGTAATAGCAGTCAAGAATAATAAGAATTATCAAAGATTAAAATAAAAACTATTAGTAATCTATACTCTTTTAGACAAGTTTGAGAGGCTTGAAATTATCTTTTTAAAAAGAAAGGCTAAAATATATAATGATCTGTTTCCGCAATGCCTGAAATACAGTAAAATAATGATCTCTAACCCCAAGAGTCCCAGAGTCAAACCTTTTAAGGTAAAATCTAATTTCTCTATACCAGACTTAACTGACACAAAGAAGAAAGCATACTTAGAACTGTAAGTGATATCTTCCATCTAAAGTATCTTATATACCACCTGTAGGTTACTAACATTATCAAGTTTCAAGGAGTCTGGCGGGGTGATTTAGATATTATCAAGGTCCTCACACTTATTGTAACAGACAATAATAAGAATTATCAGTGCTTATTACAGATCGCTGTACATGACTAAAACAGGTTCTCGCTATTTTTCATTACAGTACTGTCAAACCCTAGGATCGCTTCCCTGTTCCTGTTAGCTTAGCTTCACTGGTATACGTACCTTCGAACTGGGTCGAGGTAGTGTCAGGCGGATGACTATCTAAGGACAACTGGTCTTGAACAAAGGAAGAGAAGTAAGGCCGAATAGTGCCGCGTAGCTATCTATAAGTGAGTGGAGACAAGTATTGTCGCTAAGCTTTCTAAACATATGGTTACTTAAAGACAGTGTTATTGAGCACGAAGAACAGAACTAGCTAAGTACATGAAAGAGTGTCCTTATATATCCATTCTTTGTATACCAAGTTATATATCTTCTTATATACTATATACCATATACCATATACCCGTTTATATACCATCTTATATACCTATGGTCACGTGATACGTGGCTGTCCCGGGTGTCGGTTACTCAGATCGGGATTCTACTCGATAAGAGTTGCTGCCCGTCCGGACATTGCCTTCTGCCTGACGAGTCCGCCTTGCTAGTAGCTTTAACTAGCAGGGGTCCGTAACAAGTACTTTGTGACTACCAATACATTATGAAAACCATCTTGGAGATTATACACGCACAGTTTAAAAAGAAAGACTCTGATATCTATAAAAGATTTAAGATAAATCTTGAGATCTTTCATGAAGATGCGGAAATTTATATATATAATAAAATTATTAATAACAGGTTTATTATTAAGAATATAGGAGAGACAGTTGTACAAGTTGAGTGTAAGATATCTCCTTTTTAAGTCCTTTTTTAGGACTGCCTAGTCTCTATATTCACCAACATAGATTCAGGTTTAGACAATCTTGTATACCATACAGTCTGGACAAATAATGTGGATCTACTTAGATTTATACTTCAGCCTAGACAAGAACTAACTCAAAGAGACAATACAGTTGAAACTCATATATACACTGTCTCGATAAGTATATTTTAACTAGCAATAAAAAAGGATTATTTAGACTGTCTGAAGATAATAATAAAATATACAGAAGCAGCTCTTCTAATTAACAGTCTACTTCAAGATTATGGTATCAAGGTAAAGAAGAAGAGGCTGAATTTCTACCAAGGCCTTTCAATTCATGGGAAGAAACGAGCAGACTGGGCCACGGCAGGGAGAGGGATGACTAGTCCACGTGCAGAACAAGAGACCCCCTTGCTCACTGCTGCGTTTCTAGGGTCCTTACCATGTGTGGAATGGTTTCTCAGCTCGGCTCCTGTCAAGAATTACGCTGGGTTTATCAAGGACCATGGACAGGACGACAAGTTGAGACTACTATCGGAGTCAATGAAGGACGTGGAAGGACCACTCACGGGCTGGATTCAGTCCAAGAGTATATGCCAATTCCACCGCCCTGTGAGTTGTACCTGCTGACATAGCCATGAACAGATGACTTTATCCTACACTGCGCTATACTTTCAAAGCCTACACAGGAGTCATGCCGATTAGTTGAATACCTCGTTAGGCGCGTCCCGCAGTCCATCGAAACCAAGTCGGCTGCAGGGCATACGCCCCTGGCTCTTGCATTCTCTCTTGACCGGGCAGACTTCGCCCACATCCTGATCAGCGCCGGGGCCAATCAGGCAACCCGCGATCGTAAAGGCAACAACCTGGTTCATCTGCTACTCTCCGACATCAATGGCAGCGCTCGAGACGAGCCAGGCAACATGGAGAGGCTGCTCGCCCTGCTTGATACCCGATTGATTCCATCGCTGCTGACTGAGCGCTCATCAGACGATCCTGGATCACTTACTCCAATCGCTCGCTGGATGCATCGAAGTCAGTGGCCCTGGCGAACAAGGTCGAGTGGATGGGGATTCGATCGTCGACGGGAAACGAGCGGCAAACTGGCTGTAGTACGCTGTTTATTCAAATTTGCTCAACCAACAGGCCAGAAGCACTTGGAAATGTTCGACGGCACTGGGAATACACCACTTCATGAAGCGGTCAAGCAGCAATACCCGAGAATTTTCAAGACTATGGCGAGATATCGTCCTGATCTACTGTACCGGGAGAATGCCACCGGAAGCACGCCTTTGGAGTTGGCAGTGGACAATTGGGTAGCGGAAGCACTGTCAAGCCCGCCACCTATTCTGATAGACGGAAGGCAATCGGAGGCAAGAAACAAGGAGAGCAGTTGTGTACTGGATCGGCAGCCTGAGTCATTCGACCCGGATTATCCGACTAAGCGGGAGAGTGAGCGGCAAGCGATCTACAGGACCGCTTGCGAACAAGCCAGCGCTAACCCACATAAGAGGAAGCTGGTGAGTCTAAAGGAGGCAAATGAGGTGGCCAAGCGACTTGCCTTGCGAAAGGAGAGGGAGATCTCTTCTACCGAAGAGAGCGATATTGTGACCCAGTGGTATCACCAGGCCGTGCGATCTTGAGAGGATAAGTGGCGGGTAACAAGGCTCAGCTTTAGATGGGTGATCTATACCTGAATTACGTTCAATTTACTAGACGCAATAGAGGATTTGGGGATAGAAGAGCGTCTAGGGAGTAATGTAATCGATAATGGCAGTAAGATCCAAGGCGGTGAGGACCAGCCGGGGCAGAACGAGGATGGCCGCGAATGTCCCCGCGGTCCTGCAACTTCTTCAACCGCTTTCTTCTGTGAACCACGCATCATTCGTTTTAAAAATGACTGCCTCCTCATTTGCGGCAGATCCCCTTACCATCCTGCCTCCTGAAATTGTTCTGCGCGTACTAGAATTCATCCCCGTGTCCGCCCTCGCCTCCCTGACCGCCGTCTCCAAGGCCTGGCACCAATTTATCGACGTCACGCATCGAGAAGCCATCTACAGTTCCGAATCCAAAACCACCCAACCCGCCGGAGGTGCCCGGGACTTTACATTCCTGTCGGACAGCACCACGTTCACCAAACTATATGAGGATACAACATCATGGAAGGATTTGTGCAAGCGCCAGACGCTGCTCTCCCGCAACTGGGCCGATGAGCGCCCAGTTACCCGGGAGTCGGTGCTGCAGGTCGGTAACAATCCCGTCTGGCGGTTCCGTGCGGACTTCAAGCGCCGGTTCTTCATTTCCACATCACACGCGGGGGGGCTAAATATCACGGATATGGACACGGGCCGGATTCTGTGGCGACTTCCCTCCACGCTGCATCGTGATGAGAATGCGGTTCGCCCATATGCGCATCTAGAGTACCAGGACGGAATGGCCGTGTTTGATCGCGAAGGGGATGCACTGGAGGTTTGGCAGGCGGATTTGGAGGGTGCAGCGCGTGGGGAGTTCCGGCGCATCGCGATCTTGGACCATGATTGCCAAACCAGAGGATTTCAGTTGTCTTACTGGACGCTTTGTGTGGTCTCGACTCAGGGACAAGGCTTTGTGTATGATATGACGCAGCGACCCCCCAAGTTGATTACGCACCTCACCATCGAGGATGACGCTGTCGGCCATCTAGACCAGAGCGAGGACGCCGTCATTTACTCCATGGGCCCGCGAGGCTATCATGTGTATAACAAGATGTCCGGTGAATTCTTGGGTGCTCTACAGCCGTTTCGCTGTACAGACATGTATCATATCCTCCCGCCCGTCGCTACCTCTCCCTCCGCAATTGCAGCGCTGGCGGCTGCTGCGCGGCACGGTCCAACACAGCAACTATTCGCTCTGGGGGCCCCTTGCAAGGACTGTCTGGTGCCTATTGAGCTCGCAAAGGGTCTTCTTCCGCCACCGACTGACTTTGAACATGTCAGACATGGTGATGACGAATGGGGAGCTGGCATGCTTCACGGCGACCTCTTCGTTGGCTTCTCCCGCGCTGGCCGTGTCTTCGTGTGCTCTGACTGGCGCAAGGCCCTTCACAGCGAAAATGGTCTTACGACACATGGCTCCCTAATAGAATGCGAGTCGGATGGGTCAAACTTTGATCTGGGCGGTTGGTTGTCGGTGCGCAACCACCGTTTGATGTTCGAGATCCAAGACCGGATATACGTCGTCGCCCTCGATGATAACAACAGGATGCAAGATGTCAATTGCCCTACTCGTGCTTCCTACTCACTACTCACTAGCTCCGTGCCACAGCTTGCCGTGCCCGTCAGTTTCATGGCATTGTGTGATGATGCGATCATGACTACCTACACTGTACGTCCCCACCCCCAAATGAGAAGAGAATCAGGGGGGCTAACATAGAAACCGCAGACCCTCGGGTTCCGTCAACCCCTCTCTGACATCCCTGGTGATGCACCCCAAGATGATCACGAGGGCCCCGCTCGCATATTTCCTACCAAAGCCATCCGCATCGTCAGCCTAGCCCCGACCTCTCTAACAGTAAGTCCGACTCGAACTCCAATGTCGAAGGGCCCCAGGACCAGAGGGCAACCGGCGGGGGACTGTGGGATTCTGAACATCGCCAGCCCCGCGCGGAGGATACCTGGCGCTCGCAGGCCGGTCTGCTGCAGTTAGTTAGCTTGCTAGGAGATGAACTTGACGAAGAGGAGGATGAGTTCGAAACCATGTATGCGGATGGTGATGGTAGTGAGTGGGAGGATGCGGATGAAGATGAAGATGAGGAGCATGAGCATGAGCATGAGCCTGAGAGTGTACACGAAGAAGCCTAGGCTTAGGGCTGTTCCTGCAGTTTGTGTCTTAAGGCTTGGATGAAATTTCCGAAGTGGACCGGTAACCATTGCGAGTAGGTTACGACCAGAATAACCACGCATTGACATTCGATGTTTCAAGACAAACGTATGGGGGTGAGATGAAACTTGATTTGTCCGAACTCGCTCGAGTTAAAGCTGACTGCCTGCCAGATACAAGACATGCCACATAGGCAGGTTGCCCATCCAGGCGATCAAGGGAAGGCAAACGAGGTGCTCCCCACGTAGATCTCCATTTACACAACACTAACCCGCTGCGTAGAACAGTTCTACCATGTATAATACCCTGAAACTGCGCCAATGAAGAACATGCTGGAGGTGCCAAACAACGGCAGATACACGTAAGATCAGGCGTCAGAAAAGATCATCCATTTCACTCGGACTTGAAATCCTCGCCACTCGTTATTATCGCAGTAATAGGTAGAACACTACCCAGACTCCGTATGTATCAAGTGCCTTCCGATCCCCAATTGATTCGGGGACTCTAATTCGGCTTATGGCGGTAAAGACGCCATGACATCATTCATTCGGATGGTTGACTTTAGCTTCACGACTGCCCTAATCGGGATCCACTCTGGATCCACCCCCTGTCACTGCCATCATGATGATGCAACCGCTCAGGCGATGGAGATGAGGCCAATCCCGACTGCTTGAGCTGTCTTATAAACTCTGTATCTCCGTCTGGCATGATCATTCAAGCTTGAGGAAAGCTCCCAGCAGTCACTCGATTTCCTTACCCAGTCAATTGACTTAAACATCTACCATCATGGCCCCAAAGCACAAGAACCACACTCCGCGGCTACATCAGTATGCTATCTCGTCCACTGCATTCGGGCTCAAGCTAACAAACACACTCTCCCAGTCTCGGAAAATGGATGCCCTCAACCCTCGACGCCCATCACCAGTGGCTTGGCGGCGTAATCGCCGATGTCGACAACAAAGAATCCCACGACCTTCACCCTGTCATCCAAGAATTCCAGGACCTCATTGAAAACAACACCCGCGTCTACCTCCTCATCTCCTCCATGTTTGGCGAACTCCCCCGCAACCGAACCTACGCCACCGATCCCACCGGCTGTCCCCAAATGCGGGACTACGAGCACATGCTCCTCGTTCTGAACCACCTCATCACCACTGCTCCCTCCTGGAGCGACTTCTCCCATCGCGTCGGGCTAGTCGGTTTACCGATTAACGCCGTCCTGGATTGGCCCATGGGCACACCGAGTGGCTACGCCGCGTTCCTGGACCCAGATATCAACCGAATGATCAAGAAGATCCTTAATACATGGGGTGATTTTCTTAAATCCCCCAAGTCTGCAAAGGTGCTTGACGAGTCCGCCTATGGATGGTTCGGGGAGACCGCAAAAGCAGATCTGGTGGAGGTAGGAAACGTGCAAAAGACGAACCACTCATTCGAGGAGATGTTCATTTGCGATCCGTCTGCCGAGCACCACGGATACACATCGTGGGATCATTTCTTTACCCGGTTATTCCGAGAGGGCATCCGGCCCGTTGCATCGCCCAGTGATGATAAGGTGATTGCGAACGCGTGCGAGTCGCAGCCATACAAGGTGACGCATGATGTCAAGGCACGCGATCAGTTCTGGATCAAGAGTCAGCCGTATTCGGTGAATGATATGCTGGCTTTTGATCCGCTGGCAGAGCAGTTCGAGGGTGGTACAGTCTATCAGGCGTTCTTGAGTGCGTTGAGCTATCACCGCTGGCATGCGCCCGTGTCGGGTAGGATTGTCAAGGCGTATGTGGTTGATGGAACATATTACTCCGAGCCATTGTTCGAGGGTCTGGGGGATACAGATGCGAAGGAACCGCAGCATGGAATTGATAGTGCAGGGGAGGTGATGTCGCAGGAATATCTGACGGCTACAGCCACGCGAGCTATCATCTTCATTGAATGCGATAACCCGGATATTGGACTCATGGCGTTCCTGGGAGTGGGCATGTGTGAGGTCTCAACTTGTGATATCACTGTCTCGGAGGGCCAACATGTCACCAAAGGCGATCAGATTGGTATGTTCCACTTTGGTGGTTCCACACATTGCCTGCTGTTCCGCAAGGGCGTTAATGTGCAGGGTCTTCCATCGCCCAAGTTGCGGTGTAATGTGCCTGTTAGAAGCCAGTTGGCCGTGGTGGCTTGAGTAGATACGATTTTGGGTCAATAGCAAGTATATAGTGTATGTATTATAATCCGAGTATTTATTGTACGAGTCACGAGCCTGTCGGGCACATGAAACCCCACAAAGCCACTTCCTTCCTCGTTCTTCATCATCTTCTTACCTCTCCTTCCCCTTATTCTCCTCCCCCCCCAATCTTTCCAACCATCTCACATTTTCGCCATCAACTCAACCGGTTGAGCCGGCCCTGCACGGTCTGTAGCCCATTTCATGATCAATTGAATCACTCCATCCATCTCCTCCCGAGTATTGTCCGCGTGGATCATAAGCCGGACTCGACCTGTGCCCTTGGGCACGCTGGGAAACTCCACCGAGTTCACCCAATACCGAGCTCGCCGCAGTCTTTTGCACAGATTGCCAGCCTGACCGGCCTTTGTTATGACTGGGATTATCGGAGACTTGAACGGCCTGGTATACCATGTTCTCTCAGTAGGCAGGTAAAGGATGCCTCGCTGCTTCATCTCCTCCCATCGAGGGTGTCTTGTCAAGGTCCAGTAAAAGTACCATATGTTCTGCTGCAAACGGCACCGGCGCTGCATTCCCAACACTACATTAGTATTGCTAACCACCTTTGTAGGGACTGGGAAACGAACCTTCTGTCCTTCCTCCGAGGTCAGTATTTCATAGCCGGCTCGAACAGCGGCTACAGTCACAAAGGTTGGCGCAGTGGTAAATATCACATTTCGCGCATAGTTGATGATGCCCTGTTTGATTGTCTGGTTGCATAGGACCACCGCTTTCAAAAATTAGCAACATCGTAACATGGATAGTAATGGGTCGTCTCACCTCCTGCTGACGCCAGAGCTTTCCCGCAGGTTTGCAATCGGATGGCAAACTCGCTCTCGAGTCCGTATTCACAGACTACCCCTGATCCGTTGGGGCCGATAATTCCGTTTGAATGGGCCTCGTCGATGGCCAGCACATAGTTTCCTCGCGGTAGAGCGTCATAGGCAACCTTAATAAAGTCATGGACAGGCGCCACATCTCCATCCAGACTATATATTGACTCTAGCGCAATGAACACGACCTGTCTACCTTCTGCCACCTCGGTGTTCTGGTTCCGGAGATCTTCTAAACGCTGGCGCAAGGAAAGAGAGTCGTTGTGACAGAAGGAAATGCCCTTAGCACGCCCAAGTCGCATTCCCTCGTGGATGCTAGAATGCACCAGTTCATCGAAAACGACGAAGTCCCCAGGCTGCGGAACCGAGGACCAAATGGCCAGGTTCGCATCATAACCAGACGGGAAGAACAGGCCATCCTCAGCACCATGAAAATGAGACATGTCACGCTCAATATCTACCAGATACTGCTTTGTGCCTTCGAAAGCACGCGGGGCAGTACTTCCGACAGTGAAGTGGGGGTGTCTTTCAAGTTGATGCAAAAAAGCCTGGGTGAGGATTCCGGAGCTTGAAAGTGACAGCGTATCATTGGACCCAAAGTCCACTGTCCCTTCAAATTCGTCCGTTGAGGCTGGCTCGTACAACCGCCCCTCCTTGCGACGACGGTCCAGCAGAACTTGAAGTTTTTGACAAATGATATCTTTTCCGGTGCTCATGTTGTGCGGTGATCTTGAGAGGATGGGGTGACATTGTCTACATCTGAAACTCCCGCGCCTTATATCCTGGAGATAATTCGGCGATCTTTTTCCTTTCCGTCTACGTATGGCCTCGGTGGGCAATGATTGACTGCGAGTTTGGCCCAAGCCCATGGCGTAACCGCAGTGACCTAGCACAGAAACCGGTCAGGGCTGCGATTCCCAAGAGGATTACCCCTTTATGCGTCATTTATATATTTGATTGAATATCCACTACGGTATTGGTCGTCGATGTTGTGGAGCTTCTACCTACAAAACAATCCGATGTATACAGTACTAACTTTATCTGAAACCGTATGAGCTTGTTGGTGTTTCCTCGAAGGAAATAACATTGGGCTCAGCCATGGGTCCAACACGATGGAGGGATCCGAGCGTCAGCGGCAAAGACAACGGCCATCAACGTGGGCGATCTGAGGATTTTATTGTGCTAGCTAGTTCATGCCATATCCGATCAAGCGCCATCGGGATATCCGCTAGTGGCACGATTATCGCCAACTTAAAGAGTTTGGCATGAACCACAATCGAACAGAGGCGATTGGTTCGAATCCGGTTTCTAAAGTTTAAGCTTCAGGGCAAGCTTTCGTTAGTTGGTGACCTTGACGCAGAAATCAAGGATGTTGGTGCCGATTGCCCAAATGCCATTGGAGCCGAGCCCTGATGGATCTGGCTGGAACCTGACTAACTATGATGATTCCAAGCCACTCCAGGTCTAGTCTACTTACAATATGGAGAGGCTACGGCGCCGCTGACGACAGGTGAAGGTCCGAATCTTGCCACGGGGGCTCATTCCGAATTAGTCCAGGGAGACTAGGCCGATCTTCGGGCATAAATTGCGATTGCCACACGTGCGACTTCTCCCCAGCCTTATGCTAGAGACCGGTAGATTGCAACAGAGAAAGACATCCGCAGAATAAGGCGCCCTGCTGACCTACCACATGACTTTAGCGTGTCCGTGAACCACGGCTGCGAAGATATTTGCCTCGTTGTGGCTTTTATATTGCGTTCGTCACTCTTAGGCTCTAGCCGGTGATATAACAATACGCAGGATGCTATACGACGGCAGCTTCTAGACCACGGTTCATTGAAACTATTTGAGACAACTGAACAATGCAACTACTCCTTAACCGTGCATGCAATTGTGGTTGGTGTGTCCTCGGCTTTTCACAGGGGAGAAGACAATCTATGAAGAAGTGAATCGGTTGTGCTTCTCCCTTGATCCGTCTCTTCCTCTCTTGCAGAACGTATTCTTCTCAGTTTACTACATCTCTTACTGTCTACAGTACGCCTACATGTCCAGAGCACAGCCAGCAATAAATTATTAAAGGTTATATAATATATCTCCCCATCTCGCATGGGGACTAACAGAACACCCCGTCTCTCCATCGACTCTATTCACACTTATACGTAATGACCTTAAGTTCCCGAGTGAGTGTCCGAGCACCCTCGCCCATGGTCAACTCAGGATCCCCGAGACAGTGATCTTGCCTATCATCCCAATGTGAGTACATCATCACCACCCAACATAAAAGAAGCATCACGTACCTGTAGAAACTGCAGCGTCCCTTCGATTGCACCTCAATGATAAGAGCTGGGATACCTCTAAACCACCATTAGCGACAAGCTTCTCTTGAAATAGGGAGAAAGGAGGAACACACGGAGTGGAATGCTTGACACACTCTCCAACATTCGAAGTGGTCGAATGTGTGCCTTCATCAGTATAAATAGAGACCTAGAACATGACTCTATTAGTATCGACCAAAACAAAAGAAAAAAAAAACTGCTCTGATAAGATCCATCTACCTTGGAGAGATCTGCTCCCGCCAACGCCGAAGCAGAGAAAAGGAGCGTAGCTAGAGCAAGAACAGACTTCATTGTGAACATGTGGGTTAGAAAAGGAGTGTAGGTATGTTTTTTTTCAAAGGAGCGTGTTTCAGTTCGATGAGAAAGGAGCGTATGTGTTGGGCATCTCTACTCGATCTCGCGGCGTCAACCCAGCATATATACCCACTGATATCGAGCTATTGTTTACATTACCTACTACTATAGACACCATAAATATTTCCTGATTCGTGTTCTGTTATGTGGTCCTAGTATGCCAAGACGCGACGGAAACATTTTTTTTGTTTGTTTTCTCCTTGGAATTAAGAAGGAGAAACCCCCGTAGTATGGCGATCACTTGCAGTCAGTCCCTTTGAATTCATCACCTTTTTATTCGGGTTATTTATTATATGGCGATAAACAATAGATAGTCAATATGATTTTGCATTCGGGTATGTAGATTTCTCTCTTGTACAATTACGGGGCTTTCATTCATTAGATAAGTATTCTCAATATTTAAATCTACGCCGTCCTCTCCAACAACAACAGTGGATTCCTCCAGACTCAGTCAGCGGGTGGAGTGTTCTCCCTTTCCAGGAATGCATGTATCCACTGAATACCAACGTTACTGACACACATCCAAGGGAACTGACCACTTATCAGGTAATGTACGATTGGTAGTTAGTCTATCGCTGTGTTATCTCATTGTATATACTGTTACTAGACATGGTGAGTATTAGGTGACAAGTGAGGCCTGGCGTAGTGACAAGGTCTTTCATATATATTTTCTTCTAGGAGTTGTTAGTAGCAAGAGTCCGTTGGTACGGAGTCGATACTAGTAATAGAGATTTGGGGAGTTGGATTTGATGTTTCGGTCTTACTGTGCGGAGTACTAGGGAGGTATGGGGACTCTGTATGTTTTGTTTTGTTGTTTAGGAGGAAAGAAGGAAGGAAGGAAGGATGGATGGAAAGGAATGTGGGGCAGGGCCGGGCGTGTCAAGGAGGGATGGACGCCTGTCGTCTATCTACACTCTTAAGTACTATCTACAGGGATGAAAGGGGGCTAAAGAGTCTAAGTAATCTACGCGGCGTACAAAGCGTATGCTTGCTTGCTTGCTGCCTTCTTCTCCGCTGCCTCTGTTCCTCTCCGCTACTTATGGCTGGTAGCATCCTCCCCGGCCACCCACAAGTATGTCTGCCGTGTACAATCAACATGTCGTACGGACACAACATAATCCATCATCCCTGAGGTATGTGACCATCCCGGCATTTGTACCATCCGGTACTACAAGCTCATCTTGCCCCTTGTCTCGTATGGAATCAGAAGCACCAACAGTCCAGCAAGCAGAAACATGCCCCCGCTGATGTATACCGGAACCGAGGTCTGCACGTTGGCAACCATCGCGATAATCGGCGCGAGGATGCCTCCGATGCGATTCGCACCCCCCACCAATGCATTCCCCGTCCCTCGGTGCTGTGTCTCGAAGATCTCCGGTGTGTATGCATACAACACTGCATACAGCAGACTGCTTGTGAAGCTGTAGGCACAATTCCACCCCAAGAGGGCTGCGGACGTTGTCGCTGATGTGGATGCAAGCAGGAAGGCGCCGGTTAATAATGTGGCGAGGGACAGCGTTCCCTTGCGTCCGAAACGAGGCATCTCGACCATCACACCGCCGACAAGACTCCCCGGGACCCCGACTGCGGCTATGATCAAGGAGTTCCGGTAGGTGATGTACGTGGAGCCATCGCCGAATTGGATTCCCCTGGTTTGTTGGAGATAGGGAAGAAAGTTATTGTAAAGAGGAAAGCCCAACCCGATCAAGGCCCAGATGAAAATCATGAGACTCGTCGTCCAAGCGCGACGGGGGGTGCTGAACAGTGCGCGGACATAGGGCGCCGTGAGTGGCTCGAGACGCATTCGGAGCTGATCGGCTGCGCTCAGCCCATGACGAGGAGTCGGTACTGTTGGTGTTGAGGTTGCGGTTGTGCCAGTGCCAGAGGTGGTACACTCGTCGAGTAAGTCGTCTATACATAGCGAGGATGTGGTTCCGTTACGGCGTGCGACTTCATGGATGACTGAGACGGACTCTTCGTATCGACCTTTGCCCATGAGGAACTTGGGAGACTCGAACAGGGTGAAAAAGACCCAGCGCGCTAGACACATGAAGAGCGCCAGACCACCCATCGTGATAAGAAAGTACCTCCAACCCATGTTGGTGGACCTGCTGCAATTCTCTGCCGATGAACAGGTCATTTCGCCGATGAGAGGCCATGCGACCAGGTTTGCGAGCACCTGTGCTAGAGCCCAATTGATGGACAGCACGGTCAGAAGGTACTGGTGAGATCCGGGGAGAAATTCGAGGAAGATGGCCGAGTCGACTGGAAGGTTGCCTCCCACACCAAAGGACCAAAGAGCAGCAAAGACGCCCACGACGGCAAAGGACGGCGAGCCGGCCGCGACCAGGCCAAAGACGGCGGTTATGGCAATGGTGAGGTTGAAGGCCCATCGACGACCGAATAAGTCGCAGGTGAAGCCCCAGAATAGAGAACCGGCAAGCAGGCCAATGTTCTGGGCTAAAGAGAGCAGCGGGGGTTGAGCCACGTGGAATTCATAGGACACGGGAACGAGGATAAGAGAGGTGACGATGGGCCACAGGTTGTCGCTGGCCCAGCCGAATCCGATGACGCCGAACAGCTGCCATTGATACTTCCCCATCCCAATGTCTTGGATGGCGCGGTTGAGCAGATCTGCCTTGTGGCGGTATGATGCTGCCGCAGCATTGGGATCCGGTGAAGTAGGCGTGGATTCCAGTGTCGCCAACACCGGCTCCGACTCGTCGGGCTTGAATGAGGAGGGCATGGCTCGGTCGCAGAGTGCACGGTTGGTCGGAGCGGGGTTGAGGGTCGAGCGTGAAGCTTATCGCGGGCGGGCCTTTCTCGGGTCGCATCCCAGCCGCGGAGGAGAACTCATCTAGGAGAGCTTCGAGGGGAGAGTAGGTGGAGGGGAATAAAAAAAATGTGGAAAGATAGGGAGGTATAAATCCCAGTGACAGTAGGAAGAAAGTGAATGGATGGATGGATGGATGGATGAATGATGACGGCGAAGAGATGACGGGATCTGCAGGGTCGATGGTCTCATCCAATTTCCCCCCGGAGCTAGCCGGACCCGCAAGCAGCCAATCAACAATGGATGCTTCAATACGATGGATGGTAGGAGGGAAAATTGGCGGAGTAGAGTAACAAACAGATTCCTAGCTAATATATACATCTACCCCTCCAGGCTGACTCCCCTTGCCGCCGCCCAGGCTGCTAGGGCACGATTGCGTGATCCAGTGGATCACGCTGTCGTTGCAGCAGCTCCCAACGAGCTGATCGGCGTCAATCCGGGGTAGAACGAGGTCGGCATGGTGGGGATGGGGATGGGCTCGTCGGTGCCAAAGGCTGTCGACAGGTCAGCAGCCATGGTAGCAGCCGAGTAGCCCGAAGGAGCCGTGGTGACTGTCACCGTCGTAGTATACGACGTCGTAGAATCACTGTCTTTCAGACAGAAGCCATCCCCGTAGGCGGACTCGCACGTGTACGTCTGCTCATTGCCGCTTTCGGTCCACATGGCAAAGTCCTCGATGGTGATGTCGGTGCAAGGGGCCGTGTCCGAGCATACCACCTTGAGAGGGCCGCGCTCGGCGCCATCCGCCTCCGTCCCCTTCCAGTTCTTAAAGGTGATGTTGCTCAGCTCCACGCCATCTCCGGCCACTGCCGTCATGCTGCTCCAGTAGCTGTTGATGTAGAGCGAGTATGCATTGCCGTGACCTACAATATTAGCCCGGGTTATGCCACATTTCTTTGTTAGACATACCGATGAAGTTTTCCAGAAGGGTGTTCTTAACAGTCCCGCTGCCGCCATTGCTCTTGATCATGTACATTTGGTTGGAACTCCAGGTGTAAACGTTCCGGTACAGGATATCGGTAATATCCGTGTCAGCACCCAGAGACCCCATCGCACAGCCTCCACTCCAATTGCAGTAGATGCTCTCCACTTGGATGTTGTTGGCAGGACTCTGCAGGTGGTTAGGGCACACTCCGGGCAACCTCTTGATGGACTCTTACCTTGACCGTGACACATTCATCCTTGTTGGTAACCTCAATCTAGGTTCAGAGGTCAGCCGTTGTCTCGCATGGTGGTATGACTGGTGACATACATCGTGGACCCAGATATTGCTACCCCAAACATCAATCCCATCCAAACCCCCGGAATTACCACCCCGGATCGCCATGTTGTATACCTCACCATTGGAGCATGTATCCATGACGAAGTGAAACGCGGGTGCATCAACGAGGATAAGATCATGCACTGCAAAATCGCTTACATCCTGCAGTCTCAGAATTCGCGGCCCGGACAGAGAGCCCTCCCGGTGGTACACATATCCGAACCCCTGAACGGCACCCTCGTCCGTGCTGCTGAACAGCTCGAAGTCGGACGTGTTCTCAATCAGGATCATATTACCGCCGTCGGTTCCCGTGCGGTAGATGATACCATCCAGCTGGATGGCAGTTGCTTTACCGCTATCCAAGGTGACCCAAGTCTCCAGCGCATAGTTGCCCGAAGGAATGTAGATCAGCCCTCCGTCAGAACACTCATCCCAGGCCGACGTTATAGCAGGCCCAAGGTCGGTCGAGTTGTCGGCCACAGCACCGTAGTCCAGCACGTTACATGTTTTGTATGCAGCTTTTGAAGAAGCCGACGTAAGGGGACCAACGCTACCGGAGAGCTGGCCGTTGACCAGCAACGGAGCGAGAGCAAGGGCGAGAATTGAAAGAGCAGACATGATGGGAAGCTATTTCGCAGGCCTTTCTTGGGTCAGACCCGGGTGAGGAACAATGCAGCCATTGCCGTCGGTCTTTATAGATATCAAGGGTGCCACATGCCGCGTAGACGGCTCCTCCCACCGGAGATCCTGAAGCCCCTTCGCTTCGATATCACATCAGGTGGCCGCACAGCCCAAGTTGACAGAAGGGTGTGCAGGCCGTGTTCGTGGATATTAATTTAGATTCACTGTCTTGTCCCGTTGGACTCCGTTCCTGCACCACCGCCGATCCTTCTCTTCTGGTGAAGCAGGGATATCAAGCTTTAGCTAAGCTGCCAAAGTCAATCCCTCATTCACGGAGAAATGGCGAAATTGAAATGAACCCCACCGGCGCTCGAGCTGACAGTAGTGAGTGCTCGGTTATTTTGAAAGGGACATTGCAGTGATGATCATATCTGAGCTGACGTTGAGGGAAGAACTAAGGCCTCTAGTCGCATTGGAAGGGTCGCTCCGCAATCCTCGAGTCGGGGTTAACCGCCCATGGGTCTCCTGACTGCCTGGGCGTGCCCTGGCCAGTGATCACAGAGCCACGGCCATCGGGTTGAAGCTCACCGAGCTGGAGTCCTTGAAGGCTGGGTCTAACTGGAGCTGTGCTGTGACAGAATCTTGAAGGGTGCAATCGATGGGGAGAACCCGGTATGAATGGTACCATACCATACAATACCGCGATCGTATCGTTATATACGATCTGGTCCGCGGCACGGGATACAGCCATGGGGTTAGGACGTTTCGAATACATGAATGGGGCGTCTGGGGCGTCCGGCAAGTCAACAGCAATGGTGGATATCTCGGCAATTCATTCAAGGGTTGAAAGGTCTACTCCAGGGCTCCGTACCTACCTAGTTATCTATCATACCACCAGCAGTGAAGACGGAAACTATCTACCTCTTCGCCGACTCTGTTCCTAAACCCCTTTCTAACGCTTGAAACGCCCGCTCAACTTCCTCGGGGATATCAACATGTCCAATAAATCCTTTCCCATTAGGCCCGTATCCATTCTCGTCATCCCTCAACCGCGGGATCTCTCCCATCAGGAGACCCAGAAAGCGTGGCATGCTCCACAGTCCATCAGCCGTGACCCCTTGCACGTCGTACATCAGCTCTGTCCCCTGCAGCTTAACTCTCGGTATAATTATCGGCCAACTGTGTAGCTTGGGAGCAGCCGGCCCGTACGCCTTGTCAAATGAGGCAACCGTCCTCCGAGCCATGGTCGGATCCTGAACAATAATCATTGAAATAGGCTCCGGGATACCGTTCCTTTCCAATAAGGCCCTGGTTTCCGAGGCATTCTGTCCGCAATTCGTGGACTTATCTTCAATCAGAACCTTGCATCCGGACTTTTGGATGGAGGCTGCATCGAAACACGTGTTGAAGATTGTATACAAAACGTAAGCTTCCGCTTTCCCCTGGATTTCTGAGGTTAGGTGTGCGTATTTTGGATGCTTAGACACGGCCTCATAAAGGTGAGGCGTAGAATGTCCGATCCCACCACAGAGCACCAGTGTCTTGGTTGGATGAGGGTTGCGCTGCAGGTGTCTAAAGACTGTTTCCGCCGGCTCCAGAACGGCGGAGACGCAAACCACGATGCAGTCCGAATTGGCGGGTGGCTGGGTTGCTGGGATTTGTTCGTGCGCGAGGAATTCGGCTATGCGATTGACGTCTTTTGGGTTAAGTGATGACATTGTCATTGATGTATAGCGTATTCGTTCTGGTTATGTATCTTTTGAGGAGGATAAGGAATGGAGATGCTATATTAACGATCGGATGGATGGACTGGCCTTCAGCAGCACGGTTCTTCCGGGTCATTTGATTGGCCCGTGTGCAGCGGGGTATCACCTTCCCGATTGGGTAAGTCAGCGCTGTACACAATCATCTCCAGTCCCGTCCCATCTCCGACTCTCCTTCTCTCTCTCCCTTCTCTCCCCCTCACTGTGCACGCAGGCTAGATATAAATTGACTTCTGAAACTCGAAAAGCCCCATTCGGAACCCATCGACTCAGAACTACAGCCTCAGCCACCCCTGCCGCGTCGGAATCTCCATTTGACGACTCCCACCCCGGGAGCCGATCTATTAGGCGCTCTGGGTGATGCTCTGGAGCAAGTAAAATGGCCAACTTGTGACATTTATTTCCTGGTGTCTTCTTCCTTGCTTGACACAATTTGGGATTATCTCAATGTCCGAACCCAAGCTCAGACTGCCGAAGAGGCTTTGACATACGATCAATCCCAAACAAGTGATGAGCAACGTACAATTCGGACGTGGTATGTCTTCATATCCAAAGACAATCATCCTATACTAATGTAGCATGTCAAGCTCACAGTGTCAACTCCATCTGGTCTTGGTCACCTGGGAATGCGCCAGTAACCCATACAATTCTACATTCGATATACTTCCCCTCGCATGTAAAGGCCACACCATCATACCGGATTCTATAATCTACACAGACCTCTGCTGTGATCGTGAAACCGCGACTTTTAGAATTTCGGGGCCGCAGACACCACCCTCAGCCCGTTCCCTTTAATAGCATAATATGGCAGTGTGAATGGAAGGCCACAGAGTGCTAATAGGTCTGCTATAAGCCCACAACCTCGTGTGGCTACGCCATGTTACTTATTGATGACGAGCCTTTACCAGAAGCTACCCCCTGCAGCTCCCTTGTCTGACTTCGTCTCACTATCCCACTCTGGAGTTCTGGAGAGTACGCTAGCATTAAACGCGAATGTAACCGGCAATATTGAGTCTTACACTCGCCATAATGCGGTCTGATAGACTTATGTACTTTTCGAGGATCATTTTGCCGAAGGGGCAGTGGTCTTGTTGCTCTTCTCCAATACTTTCCCAGGAAACCCCAGACTCTTCGATGCATTGCTCACGCAAATTATTATAGGCTGCATCAACAGTACTACCTTTGATGAGAATCAGAATCCCCGTCGATCTATCCAGCGACGTATCTCATCCGGTTGGAAGATTACGAAATTGAGTCGATATGAAATTTGACGTGCCAGGTAGATTGACGGAGAAATTTCTTCACCTCCATTTCAGCCGGCACTATGACACCGGTAGCCTCGATACGTACCAGGGATACATATGGAAGCTGATTCTACAGATATATCACACCCACTAGATGTGGACCCTGCCATCTCGCGAAACATATTCGGGCCTTTCTCTTCGATATGCGGCCCCTTGACATGCTGTAACTACATCGTGGTCGGAACATTAACACAATAACAGCTATGAACACTAGTAACAGTCATAATAGCATTTTCTAGATGCATAACCATTTACAACTCCCACTGTTCATCAGCACTGGTCAGATTAGCTGCTGCATGGCAAATCTTAACAAGTTTTCCGGCTGGGAGCAACTCCCATGCCTCAGCTCACCAGGAGGATTGCTTCTGAAGGCATGCCTCCGATAGTGATGATAGTACACGGCAACATAGCCCCATGAGCTAAAATCTGCTACCTGGAAAGGCCATTCCAAACGGACCTAACTCAATATAAACAACTGGTCTTATACTAACAGCAGAGGACACAGCCCCCATCGCATCGGTGATTTCCATGGCAGCTCATATAGCAGTGGCATAGACGATGATGTTCTTGCAATGAAGACAGATCTTATATTAGCTGCTTCCATCACAATAATTTAGATGGGATTAATAACTCGACCAGGCCTTGTGGGGAAAGATATGCATACAAGCAGCTCCAGCTAGAAATCACATGCTTGGCTAACCGCATCTCTATGCCCCTTTACGGGACTGCGATGGATACAAGGCGACTATCTCCTACAGTATACTGATTTCTTCCCAGTTTCCTAGAAAGGTGGTTCCTCCGACTGACCAAAGTCCCCAGTTCAGAGCGGACCTAATCCTGTTGCCGGTTCTCTCGTCCTTCCCATTCGGCCGAGATGGATGTTCGGGTCGGGCGGAACGATCCAGACCCCTCGTGACTCATTGGATCGATTCTTCATGGGACTTATATTATTATAACACAGAGTGGGATTTCTATGTTCAAGAAGAAATAACCTTACGTACTAGGTCTTCAGTGTGTGCTCAGAGTGGAGCTGGTGCAGGCAGCCGCAACTATATATAACCCGCACCCTGACGACTTGATACAGTTAGGACACTCTGGACGTGCTTTAATAACTATCATGGCTGACCAGAATGCCAACTTGAATCAACCCGAACTCAACAAACATGACATGGGTTGGCGAAAATTAATTCGTCATTTCACTCCATCGTACGCATCGCCTGACTTAGTCCTAGATGGAATTGAATAACAGGTCTGTACAGATGGTTTTCAGTTACCATGGGCACTGGAATCGTGTCTGTTCTGCTCAACACGCTTCCTTATAACGGCCAATGGCTTTACTGGATCTCTGTTGTTTGCTTCGCTTTCAATGTCCTACTCTTCACTATGGGGTGTATCATCACCTTCCTCCGCTACACACTGTACCCGGAGATCTTCTTCGCCATGATCAAACACCCAGTTCAATCCATGTTCATAGGAACGTTCCCCATGGGATTTGCGACCATCATCAATATGTTTTGCTTGGTCTGCGTCCCAGCCTGGGGTGACTGGGCCCAAAACTTGGCCTGGGGGTTGTGGATCTTTGATGCTGTTTTCTCTGTCATAACCGCCCTTTCCTTACCATTCTTGCTGTGCGTCTGCCCTGCTCTAAGCCTACGATGTAGATGCTCCATTAACATGTGTTCAGAATGGCCCATGGAGGTGAGACTCAGCTCTCATCCATGACAGCTGTATGGCTCCTCCCCATTGTCAGCTGCATTGTCGCAGCCTCGTCTGGTGCCGTCGTGGCTGATGTGCTCTCCAATCCACAACATGCCCTCTGGACCGTCATCGTGAGCTATATACTTTGGGGGATTGGATTGCCTCTCGCTATGATGGTTATGGTGATTTACCTCCAGCGACTGACGCTGCACAAATTGCCCCCCAAAGCGGTGATTGTGGGCGTGTTTCTTCCTCTAGGACCCCTAGGTCAAGGCGGGTTTGGGTAAGTTTTTGCCTATCTTCACATAATCAACCAATCTCCAATGCTTAAATTCGTTAGTGCCATGAAGCTGGACCAGGCGGCACAAGCAATCTTCCCCAAAACGCAGACCCTCGAAGCCTCGTCCGGTCCGGCTTTCTATACCATGGGTTTCATGGTCGCTCTGATTCTTTGGTCCTTTGGGTTAGTTTGGCTCTTCTTCGCCTTAGCATCCATTGCAAGAAGCAAGAGCTTCCCTTTTAATATTGGCTGGTGGGGGTTCACATTTCCTCTGGGGGTGTACGCCATGAGCACGTGTCAGATAGGCCGGGAGCTACCGTCGGAATTTTTTCGGGTATTGGGAACAGTGGGTTGAATCCCCAGGATTTTGAATGATTCAGATATTGATCTATAGCAGATTCTCTCGCTTTGCGTGGTGGTGTTGTGGATTGTGGTGAGTATCGGGACATTGCGAGGGGTGCTGTCTGGCCGGCTGTTCTTTGCACCGTGCCTGGCGGATTTGAATAGGAGGGAGGACGAGGATAAGGATGCTACGAAAGCCGCTTGAGTGGGGAACTGCCTTGGATTGAATGCCGTGATTGTATCAAAGGTGCAAAGTCTTCGAAAACGAGGGGAAACGATACCTGGATATACTTAATTACCACAGGGCGGAAGTAGAAAGAGTGAAAAGAGACATGCAGTACAACAGAAAGGAGGGGAGAATCCACCATGGAACAAACGTTGCTGGCAATCAACTCTCTCAAGGAGGGTTGTCTAGTTTATTTCACTATATTATTTTCACCCCTTCTGTCGTCTCTAGGTAGATCCCGGGGATGAATCAATGTCCACCAGCTCTAGCGCAGTTGGACGAGTGTGGAACGTCACGGCGAGACCAAAAATGCTCAGAATCCCAGATCCATCCCTGATCTTTCACTAAAGTAAGCTTAAACCGATGGAACGAGTTATAATAGGTGGAATGCGGATTTTAGCTGTCTGCGATGGGGTTCCTACTTTTATTTTTTTTCCCTTTTGATTTTTGGGAGGGGGGCTGAGGAATTTGGTTTTTTTTGACCCTGAAGAGTATTATTTATTAGGCATTTTATTTTTATTTTCATTTTTATTTTCATTTTTATTTTCATTTTTTCTAATTTTTAACTACGTACTCGGTTTAGTTACGTAGGACTTGACTACCCTTTAGTGCAGAAACCTCAGGACCCCTCAGGTCTGGCAAATTCCAGTCCTTCTACCCACCGGACTCTCTTATGATGGTCTGGTCTCCTCCTCTATCTCTCCCTTTACCACTCTCTTGCACGCTGGCAGCGAGATGTTGTTCGACGGGCTTCGACGTCTTCGTTCGGCCGCGGGCGCAGGAGGGACCGATGAGTGCCCGATGGCTGCCTTCACCCCCGCCCGAGGCGTGGGGGCGCTGTGAGTGGCCAGCCGGGCGAGCGGTCACGTGCGCTCTCCCTGGGCGAGAAAATAAAATCCAAAATTCGAATTTCCGAAAAGCCTAAAGGAAAAAATTAAAAAAATCGAAAATAAAAAATAAAAAATAATAATAACAAAAAAAGGAACGGAGTCCATCAAGATCCCAAACAAATCATCGCGCGCGGCCATCTCAAGACTTCAGGATCCATCGAGGCATCCCTTTCTGGGTGGTTTGGAGGTCTCTTGACCGGCATCCACGGCCTTCTTCGCTCCTGTTTCCTGGTCACCTTGCATTGCCTGTCGGGCGCACCCTTTTTTTTGCCCCCTGGGAATTTTGGCTCTCCCAACACTTGCGCTTCTGGTCCCCGTGGGTCCGCCGTAGCAGGACACCTGAGGCCGCCAGGCAGCCGCCCGCCCAGTCACGCTTTCTCGATTCCGCTTTGGGGGATCGGATCTGAATCATTTATTATTATTATCCACCGCAGCAGCAGCCGGTCGCACGGCTCTTCCCCAGTCCAGACCACGCGCCCCGGTGCGCGTCTCTCTGACTGCTGCTGCTCTTGTCGTCCCGGTCGGTGGAGGCTGTTGGAATTGAATTGACTTGAATTGACTTGTTTCAGCGGTGACTGCAGTGTGGTGTGGTGGTGGTGGTTGGTTATCGCCTCTTCCCCCCCCCCTAATAATACCGTGTTTTGTCGCCGTTTGGTGCAAAACGACGCGGTGGTCACATGTCCTGACAAGCAGACAAGCAAGCAATCACTCACTCAACCATTCTACCCACCCCATTCCTATCCACCACTTCAGGTATCACCGTCGCTCGGTCAAGATGATGGGCTTCAGTGGTCATTCGTTTCACCAGCAACGGCAGCCCCAGCAAAATGCGCATCCGCAGCACCAGCTGCAGTCCCCGTCCATGGCGGCGGCGGCCCATCCACAACAACATGGCACCGGCATTCCCGGGAATAACGCTCTATTTCGGGGTCAATCGCAGGCGGAGTTGGCTGCCAATTCCCCGGATCTCCGCAAAATGACCCCCTCCTCCACAGGCCCTTTAGTCGGGCTCCCCACGGGGGGTCATTATAGTCCGTTCCCCGGGCATTACCCGCCACAGGGCTCGTCGGATCTGCTGTCTCGGAATGCGGACTCTGTTGGTCAATTGAAGGATCCCTATCTATCCTTGCAGAGTTTGCAACGCAATATGAACCCCATGGCCAGTTTCCGTACACACCATAACACCATCAATCCGCAGGCTGCCATGTCCCCACATGCGCACGCAATGGGCCTCGCTTCCCCCCAGCAGTCTTTCGACAGACTGCAGCAGCAGCATCTTCAGCATCGGCAGACTCCCCATGCTCACCCGACGACGCAAACTTCTGGAGCTGCGTCGCCAATGCTGACGGCAGCCCAACCTCAACATCCTTTCCATCAATCTGCGTACCAGCAGACACATCAAGCTTCACCATATCAACAGGCGCAGCAACAATCGCCATATCAACAAGCTCAAGCGTCGCCGTATCAAGCGCAACAAGCGCATTATCAACAGCAGGCGCAGTATCAGCAGCACCAACATCAGCACCAGCAATCGCCATATCAGGCACAAGCGCAGCAGTCTCCATACCAGCAACATGCACATCAAACTTATCAGCAGCAACAAGCACAACAGCAGGCTCAACAACAGGCCCAGCAGAAGGCTCAGCAGGCACAACAGCAAGCCCAACAACAGGCACAACAGCAAGCCCAGCAGCAAGCTCAACAACAGGCACAACAGCAGGCCCAGCAACAGGCTCAACAGCAAGCTCAGCAGAAAGCCCAACAAGCTCAGCAGCAAGCTCAGCAGCAAGCTCAGCAGCAAGCACAGCAACAGGCGCAACAACAGGCGCAACAACAGGCGCAACAACAGGCGCAACAACAGGCGCAACAACAGGCGCAACAACAGGCGCAACAACAGGCGCAACAACAGGCGCAACAACAGGCGCAACAACAGGCGCAACAACAGGCGCAACAACAGGCGCAACAACAGGCGCAACAACAGGCGCAACAACAGGCGCAGCAACAGGCGCAGCAACAGGCGCAGCAACAGGCGCAGCAACAGGCGCAGCAACAGGCGCAGCAACAGGCGCAGCAACAGGCGCAGCAACAGGCGCAGCAACAGGCGCAGCAACAGGCGCAGCAACAAGCACAGCAACAGGCTCACCAGCAAGCACAACAGACTTACCAGCAACAGCAGTCTCGGTTTCAACAGCAGCAGGCCCAACGGTCTCCGTACCAGCCACAGCCACAGCAACTTCAATTCCAGCATGCATATCAGCGTCAGTATCCACAGCCGCAGACACAGACACAGACACAGCCACAGCCACAGCAGCAGCCGCAACACACCATTGTGCAACAGCATCCACAGCAACAGCACCATGTCATGCACCAACATCAAGCGCAGCAGCAGCATCCGATGTTGCAACAACACCAGGCTCAACAGCAGCAGCCATCACCTGCACAAGCAAAGGGGCAGCTCCCACAGCAGCGTCCGCAACAGTCCTCCGCCCCAGCTAGTATGGCCGGGGCTGAGCTTATTGCCCCAACACCAGAGAAAATTGAGAGTGTTGGCACTAAGCAACGGAAAAAGGCGTCCAAGCCTTCTGCATCTCCAGCGGCGTCTGTTACTCAAGTCAATGGGCAAGTTCAAGCTGGATACCCAGCTCACACTGCTGTTCCTGCTGCTGCTGCTTCTGCTTCTGCTCCCGGCCACGGCCCCGTTCTCATTCCCGGCCACGGTCCCAGTCTTACTCCCGCTGCTGCACTCAGTTCTGCTCAAGGGCCTGCTACTGCTGCAGCAGCACCTGATGCGGATGGTGCCGTTCCAGATAAACCCCCCGGCAAAAAGAGAGGTCGGCCACGTAAACCTGTAATACCAGGAGAGGAGAAGAAGCCCCGGCCCAAGAAACCCAAAAAGCCTCAGACAGTGACAACTACGGCACCAGATGGCACGCCGATGGTAGTTACGGTCCCCACAAGTAATGCAGAGAGTTCAGCTGCGGGTTCGGGTTTGGGTCCAGGTCCTGCGCCTGCACCTGCACCTCCACTACCACCGATCATTGGGCCCGACGGGAACCCTATCCCGCAAAAGCGAGGTCGTGGACGTCCCCGCAAGTCAGAACAGGGCAATGTGCCTCCGAAGCCTAGGCCACCAAAGAAGCCATCGTCCAAGCCAGGCACCGGGCGGCCTCGTGGACGGCCGCGTAAGGCGGATGTTGAAGCGCGCAAGGCAGCTGAAGCAGCCGCCGCAGCAGCCGCAAGTGGTCAAACACCAGGCGAACAGGTTCAAGCTGGAGGCCCGATACAAGCTGTACAACCGGCGCAGGCGCAGGCGCAACCCCAGCCTCAAGCTCAAGCTCAGCCACAAGCGCAGGCCCAGCCTCAACCCAGGGCGCAACCTGCACAGCAATACCAGCATCATCATCAGTTCCAAGTCACCCCGCAGCCTCACCACATCCACGGGCATCAAATCCAAGGCCAATCCAAAGGTCAATCCCCGGCGCATCAGATGCATACTTCGAGCCAAGCTCAGTTCCAAGCACTGCAACACCAGTTCCAAGCCCAGCCTCAGCCTCACACTAACACCCATGCCAACCACCAACACCAAGCTCAAGCCCAAGCCCAGTCCCGTCCAATGACTACAAAGCAACCAGCTCAGACACCGACACAACCTAGACAGATGCAGGCTCCAGCTCAGGCTCAAGCTCAGGCACAACCCAGACAAATGCAGGGTCAAGCTCAGGCTCAGGCACAGTCTCAGACACAACCCAGACAGATGCAGAGTCAAGCTCAAACGCAGGCTCAGGCACAGCCTCAAGCACGTCAAATACCGGCTCAGGCACAGATGCAACCCCGTCAAATCCAGGCGCAGCCACAGCCCCAGGCGCAAGCGCAACCCCGCCAGATTCATCCTCAATCGCAACCGCAGCCGCAGCCGCAGCCCCGTCAAATGCCGACTCAAGCCCAACCACAAGCACAAGTCCACCACACTCAGGCTCACCAACTCCAGCCACATCAACTGCAAGCTCAAGTACAAGGCCACCCTCACGCCCATCAAGCTCACTCTCACTCTCAATTCCACATGCATCCCCACCTCCACCCCCACGCGCAATCGCAAGCTGCCGACCCGATGGCCCTGAATCCATCCCAAAAGCGCGGGGCGCCTGTGGACGATGACCCGCGAAAACGGGCCTTCCTCATGCCCCAGCAGATGTGATTCTTCGCCTGCAAACGTTCTGCACATGATGCCTGCCTGCCTGCCTGCTTGATTCTTACGCTAGATGCTACGAAACGCACTCATGTCGTCCCATCTGATTACTTGTTATTCTTCATTGTTGATGCTATCTCAAATTTCTGGACGTTATTCTGGCGAGTCTATCTACAACGTTGTATCACATTTGTCTGCCTGGGAGCTTTTTTTTTTTTTTTCAGCTCCTCATCTCTATCTATTATTCATCATCCGTCATGATTAACCAACAGCCCAGCCCAGCCCAGCCCAATGCCAGTCCAACTAAGCCTGCATTATTGTTTGCGTCTATCCCGCCTGTCTGTGCTTTTTTGCTCTGATTTGTTTTTGATTCCTTCAAGCCCAAACTCCAAAGTACAGGTACATGAAACAAGTACTCCTCGTCAGTCCCCCACCACCATATCAAATTCCAGTCCAACCTATACCTTTACCTACCTACCACCCACTTAGCTAGCTCAGTTCCAACTTCCACAATATCATCATTCCCATTCCACTCTCCCAGTCACTTCGGTTCTTTCTTCAAGTTCGAGGCCCCCTATCTATTCTATTAAATAATATTCTAAGCATACATACATAAGGCAAAGTCTGTCTATCCATCTCTTTAGTCCATATAAATCGACGCCAATCATTTCTCCATAGTTCAAGTTCATTGATCCATCGAGGCGGTAAGAACAGAAGGTAGACAAAGTACTAGATACAGGATCATATCAGAGATAGAATAAGATACAACCACCATATATCTCCCCAGTTTATAGAGTAAATGATATTTTCAATTTGAGATATCTGAGAATAGAAAGTAGGCGTGCATATAACTTACATTTTAGGCATTCCAGAGGAAAAGGAGGTTGGTTGGTGGCAAGAAAAGGCACGGTGAACGTATCCCAGAAACACAGATCGGGTATAGAGAGTATCGAGAAAACCGAGAACGCCGTGCACTGACCAAGTCAAACTTCAGTGGACCTGATCAAACTCCATGAGGTCTCCAGTATACGAATCAATATCATCATCTTGCAAGCCAGATTCATCTCCATCAACAGGCAGGTCTCTGCCATCCGGGAGATCACTGATGTCGAGGCGCAGGCTCGGGGCGATCCGCCGCACAACGCTGTGGCATTGCCGGAAGGCGCGTCGGGACGCCGCATAGGAGCGTGCCATGTGGTGAAGCCAGCGCAGGGCCTTCTTGACCGCGCGGACCATGCTGAGCATGTCGGAGGCGGCGGGGCGCGAGGGGTCCTCGCTGGACGCGGTGCCGGGTGGCCAGCTGGAGAGATGCAGAAGGATGGCGGTAGTGGCTTGCATGATGTAATGAAGGATGCACCACCAAGGGGTGACGGCCGTGAGCCAGACGATATCGGGGGTCTCGGGTAGGGTGGACAGGAGGGAGCGGGCGGAGATGACGCAGACGAGGGCCATGTCGGAGCTGAAGTGCGTGCGGTTGCGGGAATTGCGGCGCGCCAGGCGGCGGAGGGACGAAGGGGGGATGGGGTCCGGGGACAGCGAGCCCGGCTGCAGACTGGTATGACCGAGGCACGGGCGGCACAGCGTGATCCGGGCGCTATAGTAGCTGATGGCCAGGGACAGGCGTTCTCGCATCCATGGCGTGTGATTGTTGTCAGGCATGTCCAGGTGATCGCTGTTCCCGGAGGTGAAGCGGTAGGCTTCGGGGACCTTGCTGACCCAGATGTCCAGGATGCTGCAGTATTTGCGGATCCGCTGCTCCACCTGGCTCGCCCGGTCGCGGAGCCCTTGAATGCTATAGACCTTGTTGATGATGGCCTGCGTGATGGTCGCGAGATCCACCGTGCAGTGGAAGAACAGCGACGGGCTGGGCTCGCACGTGGCCAGCCACGAGGCGCTGGCGCGTGCTTCCTCGTCCGTCTGGAGGAGCGTCAGCTTCAGACGATTCATGCGGAGGGACGAGTCCTGCAACAGAGGGAGGACTTCGGGTCGGCCAAAGGCCTCCTCCTCGAAGGGAATGGGGAGTGGCGTGGCGCTGAGACTTTCGCCCACGCAAGAGACTCGGCCGGTGATCGCGGTGAGGAGATGCTCGAGTAGAAAGATGGACCACCACAGACGGCTGCGCGCCTCCTTGGCGGGGTACTGCGTGCGATCATCGACGAAGCGCAGGTTGATTCCCAGCGAGACGGCGGATCGAAAAGCCATACTGGAGAACTTGAAGGCCCTGCAGAGGGAGGGAGGGAGGGAGAATTAGCATGGTGGGGGCTCAACGGAGACATGACTGACTTGCCTGTTGATTTGGCACATGCTGACAAAGTAGAGGGCCACCAGAAACTCGACCTGAATTTGCTGCAGATCGGCATGTTCGAAGATGACGCTTTCTCCGAGCGTCAGTAGCCTCGCGCGGTTCAGATAGACCAGGTCGTTATAGTCACCGTCCCCTGGGCCGGTGACGGCTTGACAGTACCGACAGCCAATGGCGAAGATCATGTTCAGGATGGCCAGCCACCGCTGGGGGGGCTTGGTCGGTTGACTGAAGAACTGGCGATACTGCGACACAAAGGCCGTCTTGCGAACGACGTTGAACGACGGATGGACCGACTCCATGTATCCGGTGAAGAAGCGGTTCGCCAACTCCTTCGGGGGGAGCGCGTAGGGATCCACCGAGTCCATCAAGGGAATACTGAGATCGTCCAGGTAATAACTCATCGCCGCAATCGCGGTTTCCTGCCTGGCCGAGCCATGGTGCGGCGGCGATGAAGCCCCGGCCTTGCCCTCGCCCTCGCCCTCGTCCTCGCCCTCGCCCTCGAGCGACCCGTCCATCCTCCGGCTTCGATATTCCGCTTCGTCCTCGAGCCTCTGCATCCACGCCACCTCCGAGTTCTTCCCGAAGAACCCGGTGGCCACCGACTTCTCGCTGCGATTCAAGTCCTCCTCCACCAGGTCGAGGGCATTAAGCGATCCGATCGACGAGGTGCTCGAGTCGGAATCGCCATCGTCGTCCGTAGGAGAGGACGGATCCGAGGCCTGTCGGCTTAGCCTTCACGAAAGACAGCCAAAGCATCAGCATCACGACTCACCTTGAGGGCTCTGCGGATTCGTCTCGCGGCATTCTCATCCACCTCCCTCTCCAGGTCCTGTAACAGCTGCTCATAATATTCGACCTTCTTCCCCAGGAACCCCAGCTGTTTCTGATCGCGGACCCGCTTGACGTCCACAAAGAAACAGCTCACGTTGTGGTCGATGCACTGCCGGCAAACCGGCTTGTTCCCATCACACTTGATCTTCCGCTGGCGACAAGGTTCACAGGCCCTGGCGGACCGCCGGCGTTGCGACTGGCTGCTGGCGCTGGTGGTGCGCGGAATGGCCACTTTGGCTGCCGGGCCCGAGACCTCCCGCGACGACGAGGAGGAGGATTGGTAGGGATAGGGCCCCGGTCGGTCCATATACCGGGGCAGCGAGTAGGGCCGAAAGGCCACGGGGGGAACCCCCGATGGGCTCACGGATTCCCAGGGCCACTCGCTGATTCCCCTCAGCGTCGGGTTCTCGGACTCGAGGGCAAGGGTGTTTTCATCGGCCGTGCGGACCCCAAAGGGGTACGATCCTGGCGTGCTCTCCATCACAAGGTCAGGCGGAAATCAGGGGGTGCAATTCCATCAGGGGGATGGAATGGAACAGAAATGGCCGTGGGTTTGGTCGAGGCGGCCGCAAATCAAGGCGAAAGCCCGTCGTCACCTGCAAATGACGTCATTGACATCGCGTGTCGCCCACAAGGAACCGATTCTTGCTGCAAAGGCACTTAATAATAGACTCTCCCATGGGCCGAAGCGCGCGGGAACACGGGTTCATGCGACATTCATTCTTGTGTGGTATTAGAGGTTATCTGCTCGCAGGCATCGTACAGATACAGATGCCCGGTCCTGCCTATCATCATCCATCGCGAGACTCGCCGGGTCAACGGCAGTGAAAGAAAGCGCATCACAATCGCCATGTAGCAGATCCAATTCCATCCATTCCCCGGTTCAATACCGTAGCCGCTCTGGAGCAATCTCATCTTTGCCCAGGCTCAAGCTCTCGTATCGGTCGAGCATTTCAAAAAGGCTGAATTCCCCGTCCGAAGCCCCATGGTAACGCTCGTCCATCTCCAGCTTCTCCAGCCCTTTGGCATACTCGTCCCACTTGGATGCCGAGGTGGACTCTTCATCGAACATCGCCTTGAGATCATCCGACACCACATTGGATTCCCGCAGCTGCCGACCCTGCGCCTTGGCGTGAACCGCCTGCCGGAATATGTGAAAGAGGGACCGTCCCAGAGGGGACCGGCTGGCGACGTTGGAGAAGGCGCTCGCGAGCGCGAGGAAATCCGAGTCTAAGATATCAAAAGACTCGAACTCCAGCAGGGTGAATAGCGCCAGATTGATTGCGTACATGGCGAAATGGTGGGCGCGACTGATGCCGTACTCCCGCCTATGAAGAACGGTTAGGGCGGCTATTGCGCGCGCGGCGGACTGGATGATTCCCACGGTGTTGTACTTGGGCAGTGGGCTCAGGCCCGGGGGGCTTTCTGGGGTTTTAGGTGCCTCGGAGTCGGGGGTGGCTCTAACTCGCTCGGTTCGAAAGGAAAATATGTTGATAACCAAAGTGTGGTAGCGCATCCTGGTGCCATCAGTCCCCTCTACCTTCGAATATAACCCGCCGCAAGCTCCACAATCGCAGGCAATTTAACATGCCAGGCGGCTTGGGAAGTGAAACCAAAGCATACGTACTCACCTTAACAAGATGATGTAAGGGGGTGGCCTATGATATGGGTCGAAAACATCCGGCAATGTACTATACCAGCCACGGAGCCTCTCATACAGTGATTCCTGGATGTGGCGTAGGTACTCGGCCGAGGCTGCGTGGACGTCGATTCCAAAAAGCTGCTGTGATACGTCTCGTGCAATTTCACACAGATTGCATGACTCGTTAAAGTAATGACTCAGATAGGACGACCGAGCAGGCCGATGAGATGGATAAGGGTACCACAAACTCGAGTCCTCGGAGCTGTACCTATTGGGCCGTTCCAGGTTGACCTTGTCGATGAGACTAGGCCGCAGGAAATCGGCATGTACCACTCTGTCAAAGGAGCGGTTAGTAGTTTACCTCACACGGGGAATTGGTCGGGATAGCTTACGTGTCAATATGGAATAGCCCCCAGGCCGTTCGCTTGATCGAGATATCCATATCGTCCGAGATCTGCCCCGGATTCAAGCTGACTTTCCTTGGGCCAATCAGTCCGAGAGACTCGCCGGTCCAGATCGCTTGGTGGAGCATCCGATAGCCCAGATCATCTTCACCGGACATGGAATACCTGGCTCCTGTGTTAGACCGGAAGTAGAAGATTGCAGTGTCAAGCGACAAGACCTCGCACCGTTCATACAACAACAGCGTGCCTTGAAGGTAGGCTAGGCTGAGTTTCGTGGGCTCGTCGTCCCGCAGACGCTCAGCTTCTGCGAGAAAATCGGCTCCTTTAGTCATGATGTCTCCTGGATCGACGTATGCTTCCGAGTAGTCTGAAAAGTGCTGTGCATGCAGATTTAGCCAACATTCTGCTGGACCCCACAAGACCAGTGTACACACCCGGTTGAACCATAGATGTGATCACGAATAGAAGATGAGACCTACGCATGCATTTGTAAGCAGGGCGTTCACCAGGAATGGACTGCAAAACTCCGACTTGGTGTTACCCTTTCGCATATGACTGAGGAAAACGTCACGGTCGAGAAAGGCATGGAAAGGGTAGTCCCAGGTGAAGTACAGGGACACTAGATGGGAGACGAGGTCTGCATCGCCTGTCACGGTGGTCCAGGGCTCAGCGGGGACCCTGTAGGGCACTTCGTTGCATAAGTAATGGATGTCCATGACCTTGGGACGAAACGACGGTCCAGCTCCTTCGACATCGATCACCCGTCTAACTTCCTGCAGCTGCCTTCCCGCCGCGTCACTCACCTTGCTACGTCCTTCAATCCGGCCCAGGGTATCGTCGATATAGGTACGAATCTCCTCGGCCGTTGCATCCTTCCGGATGATTTCCAGCAGTTTCAGAGCGTGCGCCTGATCCTCCGCACGCATCACCTTCAGGAGGTCATTCAGCATATCACGATGATAGCTGAGCTCATCGGCGGTACGCTTCGCAGCAACCCTTCGGCGCTGATCGAGCGTCTCATCAAAGATGCATTGTCGGTTGAACGCACGACAATTGTCACAAGGCGCCGTTCCAGAACACTGTCAAGGATCACATCCGAGGTCAGCAGCCGTGCACTACACGGCTTCTTCAATAGAACCGACAAGACAAAGGACCCCTTTCCCTCGCCCCAAGCCCAGCATCTGACACGAGCCACAAAAAGTAAGAGACTTGCCTTCCGTTTGGACTTCTTGCAGGCCAAGCAGGCCATGGAGACGCGTTTCTTCGAGACATCCGACGGGGTCCGAAAGCTTTCCCCCGGGGGACTTTCTCCCGATGGCAACTTTTCAGACTTGGTGGGCGATGGGCCCGGCGCCAGCTGACGGTGTTGACCTCCGAATTCACTCATATTGCAAGTGCCCAGGGCGGCAGTGAGACGTCACCGGATTCCTCTGATGGGTGGGATGAATGATAGATAGAATGGCCAACCCCTAGCAACACGGAGTGGCGAGCCATATAGGCGAAGAATTGAGGAGAAACGGCCCGTCGAGCAAGCACATGCTCGTATAGTTTCCATACTCCCGATGATTTACCTTCTTATGACGTAGAGTAAACTCGCACCACCTACGTTAGAGGCGCCGGGAAACCATGTCCGAGCATCTTTGGAACGTGGGGCGAGACCTTGGAAGGACACTAGGAGAGAGCTCGGAGCCAGGCCAGTCAGTAGCAGTTGTCCAGCAGTGAGAAGACGCAACTTAACCCCGCGACACGAAGCAAGGCATTGCAGGTGGGATGGAGGAAGGCAGACCGGGAAAGCTGGCAACCGCGGAAGCCCGTCCCGGTGAGGAACGAGGGGAGAACAAAGGCCCTTCCACGTGATCCAGCATTATCTCGAGTACTATCTACTACTACTACTTCTTCTTCTTTTTCTCGACAGCTCCGCGAGTCCAAGGTGAATAATATGAATTGGACATTACGTACGATGATATCTCCTAACTAAACGGTCGCCGCAAGCTGCGGTTTCTCCTGGGAACCCCCTTTTGACCCAGCATTCCGGCGTCCAGGAGACCCTCAGAATGCGTCCAATTAAAAGAACACTAACGACCTGGATAAAATGGTCTAGGCGAAGAAAGAAGCATGCCTAAACGGGTGGTTTTCTTTTGCTGCACACCCAAAGCAGATGTCGCCATGACGAATGCGCCTCCCAGAGATCGATCAATACAGGACAGAACCATCTCGAGCAGAAGGCAAATCCAGACATCAGTGACCCCGCTTCAAACAGAAAGTCTATCAGCCCCGACAGATCATGCCTCGGTGTCATCCCAGATGAGACGGGGGCGCACGACCGCCGGCATACGAAGTAGGAATTAAACGGCCGACCGTAAATACACCCATCTAGTGTTCCAGGATGCGCAGGCTTCCCTGGACGACGCAGTTCTCCAGCACGGAACCCGGGGGCACGTCGATGGTGCTACCCTCCGTGGCCACGATGATGACGGTTCCCTTGAGCTGCACGTTGCGGCCCAGGTTGACAGCACCAGTGATGGTAAGGTGGTCCAGCTCGACGATGCGAGGGATGCTGGGAATGTGCTTCTGGAAGTCGGAGACCTTCTTGAAGTCGGAACCGAGCTTGATGACGGGGACACCACCAAAGCGGTTGGGGTCCATAACGAGCTGGCCGTGCTCCAGGCGGTAAAGATCCGACTTGACGAGCATCAGGTCGGAGCAGGTCTTGACGGGCAAGAAACGACGACGAGGGACGTTCACACCGTGGCCATTCTTGAAGTGGCGGATGGCGGCACCAACAGCAGTCTCCAGCTGGTAGATGGCCTGGTCGGCCTCGCCCTTCTTGTCGGCGGGGATGGACTTCTCGTTGGCGATGATTTCCATCTCCAGCTCGTTCTCCTCCACCACACGCTTGATGGCGCGGAGGCTCATCCAGATGTTGTTGGTATTGAAGTACTTGAACTTCTTGATGGACTTGAACTCGTTGACGTGCTCCTTGGGCACCTGAGCGATTTCCAGGAGACGGGCCTTGCCCTCGTAGTCAATGATGGTACCACCCTTGACGTCGGCCTTGGTCTTGTCGGTCAATTCCATGACGTACTCAGCCTTGGAGTCAACCATGTGCTGCAGAATGCGAAGATCGACCACGGCACCGAGGTTGTCAGCGTTGGATAGGAAGATGTACTCAACGCCGCGCTCAAGGAGCTTGTCCAGAGTACCAGAGTTGTACAGAGACTCGAAGACGTCACCGTGACCGGGGGGGTACCAGTCCTGCAGGGGGGCGTCGAAGGACTTGGGGGCGGGGAGGAGAGAGTCCTTGATGATACGGGGGTAGCGAGACTGGTTGAAGGTGATGATGTCGACGTTGTGGCCCTGGTACTTCTTGATGATCGACTGGGTGTCCTGGTCGGTATTGAAGGAGTTCATCAGGACGAAGGGCACGTTCACGTTGAAAGTGCGGTTGAGGTGCTCAATCTGGCGAACGGACAGATCCAAGAACGACATGCCCTCACGGACCTCAATGACGGACTTGGGGCCGACGCAACCCATAGAGGTACCCAGACCACCGTTGAGCTTGACGACAGCCAGCTTGTTCAAGAACTCCACCGAAGCCTCACTGCCCAGTTCAGCGTAGTCAACCACCTGCGAGGGCTGGGGAGGAGCGATGCGGTCCCAGTTGACCACGTTGCCCTTGGCCTTGTCGTTGAGGAATCTGCGGAAGAGAGCAAAGAAGTTGTCCATCTCCGCTTCGAAACGCTTGCGCTCGTCCTCATCGGTGACGGTCTCGGCAAGGGCGTTCAAGGCATTGCGCATCTGAGAGGCGGCCACGCTGGTGGAGGCATTTTCGAAGGCCTGGAAGTAAACAGCGATTAGCACGGATACAGTCAGAAGAACAATGATGGCGGCTCGAGTCATATTGGCGACGTGATCCTGTCGCACACGGGCTGCTTCTGCCAGCCGTTGGATGGGAACATAATCGGTATCCGCCCATATGATCCATTGCCATAGGATCCCAAGGAGGAAACGGGGAAGCAAAACAGTGCGTTCGCTCGTGGTAAAGAAAAGATAGCAACCCGATTTGACAACATCAAGGGGAAGAAGACGGTGCTTGTAAGAAAAATGGTACATGGTAGAAGATGCCAACAGGACGATGCTAGGCCAACATGCCAGAACCACGGTGGAAACACGAGTGGTCCGCAAATAGAACATGATTTCTAGAACGGTGGCCCAATATAACGATGGGGCAGTGGCAGCATCGCAATTGTGGATCCAGGACTCTGGCCCGGCATTGCGGAATATTGATAGGAGGGGAAGGCAAACGAGAAACAGCAACGACAGGCGGGGTTTAACAGGGGCAGCAGAACTGATAAGCCCAGTAACAATGACTGAAATGAGTCCGTTCATAGTTTTGGTTTAAATAGCTGCGATTCAGATAAGGAGCGGGGTGGTGCAGATGGCGAAGAGGGATTAGGCGTCAAAACAGCCAGACAGCCAGAACCAAGTCCTGACGACGGCGATCGCGCTCCTTCTCTTCTCACCTCGTCCACCGACCCTTTCCAGACTGCATTGGAGCGACTTCCAGGGGCAACAAGAAACGGGGTTCACCATGGCGACAGAGAAGGAAAGATCACACAGCGCAACTTACCATGTGAGACTGGGTCTTGCCGTGGTGCTTGCCGAACGAGGCGCCGCTCGTGGCGTCGCTCGCGGGAGCTCTGAGGTGACTGGGCAAAACTTTGGCAGCCATTGTATGCGGATGAAGGTGTGGTTGGTGGTGGGAAAAAAGGAAGGATTGGGGGATGGAAACACGCGAGGTGTCGAATTACCGCTCACTGGGCCGGAAAGGGTTAGTTATCAACAGCACTGAAACTGAGAGCGACGAGGAGGTGCCCGGGGGCCAGAAATAGGGGGGAGCCGTGCAATCAACCATTGAAACACGGGCTGGAGAGGGAGAGGAATGAGGGGTCCGTGTAAATATTCAAGTTGCCACGGCCAGCAAGCGACGATCGCCTCCGGAGGAAGGATGTCGACAAGCTGGCGTCATGAGCAACGGCCCGGGAAGAGGCCATTGGTGCGACCACGGAGGGAGGCAAACAACGGAGGGATGCTTAGTACATACCAAGGATGGGAGCGGGGAGTTAAGCTGGAGAGAGAGTGTGTGTGGGAGGGGAGGAAGAGAGGGAGAGAGAGAGTTCTGATGGAGAGAAGATGGATAGATGAGAGAAAGGAAGAAGAAAAGAAGCAACGAGGCAAGCAGACAAGCAGTGCGAGGGACCAAAGATATTTATTTATTTGTTTATGAATTATTTATTATGATTATTATTATTATTATTTTAAGATGCGGGCGACGATGACGATGATGAATTGGATGGGATGGATGGATGGATGGCTTTGGGATCATTTCGTTTCGGCGGGACGAAGTGGGGGGGAGGGGGGAAAGTTGGCCATACAGAGCCCTGACCAAGTGACCATACGGCGGGCACTTTGGAAGAAGAGAGGAGGTTCACCGGCCAGGGGGAGGAGCCACCTACTACTATGTACTACTACTAGAGGAGGGGGCCGACCAGGGGCAGAATTACCGTACGGAACAGGGCCGCCGCCCAACATTCCTTGGAAAAAGTTATTCTTAGCACTGGTCTTCGCCGTGGCCCGGAATCCGCCGTGTCTTTTCTTCGGGGCCACCATGAAGCTAATTACCTGATATCTGAGACCTCCATCTTTGCCCATCCTCTCTGGATCCCCTCTGTACTCTGTAGGTATCTATCTACCACCCCTCCATCTGTCTATCTATGCTCGTGGAATGATCCATCCACCCGACTGGTGAGGGACAGACATACCCGAGTACTCTAAACCAGAGTATCTATTCCACATACTTCCAGAGTATTACTACCTACGACTACGATTCTTCTCAAAAAATACCAGCATGCCAACGCCGATCACAACGCAGCTCATCATCTGACAGCTGGGTTTTGAAACCAAGCGCCTTCTAGACCCGTCAGTGCCCCCTTTTCACTTTTCAGGGTTCAATAAATAGTCCCCAAAGGATCCCAATCCGAGCTGCCCCACTGTCCTCGTCACCTTGGTTGCCCCTCTCTCTCTCTCTCTCTCTTTCTCTCTGTCGAACTGATTTAAATTGAGGACAGCTTTTGAAACCTCCTGAATCAACTAACCATCAAAGTGATGAGAAACCGGAGTCAGCGCGTTTTACTCCGTTGAAGAGTGGTCAGAATCGAGTCAACTAGTAGGTATTATCGTAGAGACCTGCCCTACTAAAGAATACGTATCTAGATAGTGTATCTACATTGTACAGCGGAAGATTATTACCCCTCCCTCCTCTTGGCCCTGGTATACATCACAATCCGTCATGCAGAAGCAGTCAGTCCGTCATGCCTGAATGCCAGACATAATCTGTGCATCTCCAGGCAGGTCGAGTCGTTAGACTTTCCCGACAACCATGGAATGAAATCAGATCCACCCGACAGCCATCACAACAGCTGTCACTTAACCTCTCCTCCTTGCCACCAGCTGATTACTACTCCTGTGTATACCGAAGAAGTCAGACACCAACTGAATCACCTCCTACTACTACTACTACTATAGTAGGTATAGTAGTAATAGTACATAGAACTCCATTTCTAAATTTATCTCTTCATCCCCTCCTCTCCTTTTTTTTCACCTTCCATCACACACACAACCCCTAATAAACATCCAGTGGCAAACCTAAGTTGTCCCCTGAATCAATTTACTTCAGTAGTATGTGAATCTAGTACGGAAGTCTACATGTCCGTCCCACCAGCCTACGGACTAGTCCTATTGACTAGTACCTATCTAGTGTGTAGCTCGATGGTTA